GCTTCTCTTAAAGTCATTTTCATTTATATTAAAAAACCACTTTTACTCTTTGATTTTTCATACCCTACTTATCACATCATATCTTTTTCTTAATAATCTACACATCACATCCTACTTTTACCCATCACATCAAAGATATTTTTGGAAAGTCAACACAAAATTGTCTATCCTTATTTTATCACTGTAGTCAAACTTTCCCTATCTTTATGAGACGGAGGGAGTAGAATGGATTAATACAAGCACTAAGGTTTAGAAATAGGAGAGAAACTAGTTTTTACTGTCTTTAATTATTTTCGTATAATTTATGAATCAGTTTTAGAAAAATGGAAAGATCATTTAAAGATAACATAAACGGAGTACCCAAAAGGATGTTCTTTATGAAATTTAAGAAGTTAATGATTTAAAAGGAATGGTTAGAGTACGGTACCGAAGTATTTTCAATTGAACAAAAATCATTTGAGAACATTTTTTATTAGTGTTAGCGCTTTTGAAAAAAATTTAATGATTTAGATTAAATTTGAAATTGTTATCCTAACATTAAACGATACGAATAGATAGTTTTTTCAAAACGTTAACATTTCACACTATTTCTAAACAGTCCCGTGCTAGGAGATCCAATTCATATTTACTTAAATGTTACAAGTTGATCGAAACCTAATCGATCATCTTTACCATTTATTAAAATATTAACAACATTAAAAAAATTGGAAGAAATCATCATAAATAGGAGTAAAACATAGAGAAAATACCAAAGTACAAATTCCATATTTTTATTTTCTAAATAGAAGTTTGCATTGTGATAATGTGGCACCGACATGAACATTTTATTATGCTTTTTGATAATAAACATGGTCATAATTGGTAATATAAATGTATTTTAACTCTTATTTTGGGAATAAAAATATAAAACTCCTATTTTGTTATATTTTAAATATTTTATTCTTATTTTAATCTTTTTTTTAAAAAAAATTGACAATCTAACAAATATTTAAAAAAGAAACTTCGAATACGGCATCCGTCCCGCAAAAAAATTCACACATTTCACCTTTGTTTGCCTTCCAAAAAAGGTTTTACTCTAGATTGGTCACATAAACTTTAATTTTTTTCTCCTGTTAAAAAAAATCACACTATATATTTACTTTTTGAATAGTGTTACAATTCATTATTTTTCTATATTTTCTCAATCTACTCAGAAAATACAGAGTAATATCTCTATTTAAAATCAGAACATATAATTTCTCATTAAAAAAATCACAATTATGTTACTAGACCATAAGGTATCTCTTGAAATAAACAAATGGGAAAATAACACTAAAATGAAGGCAATAAAAGGGAATGAGGGAAACTCTGCCCCTTAAAAGAAATACAAATCAATAGAAAATTAATCCGTAATTTATGCAGTTTTAACATGATTTAAGAATTGAAAGACGACCGTTATTTATTTAACGACCAATTGAGGGGCCACATGTGCAATAATTTAGGGACAAAGGGTATGATTTCTCTTTAGAAAAAGCACTCTTTTTATGGAATTTATATTAAGGAGAGATTGATTCTCCATCACACCTAAAACTTCCTCTCTTTTAAAATATGTATATTTTATTCTCCCTATTGTGGACTGTTGGCTATTGTTGTATTGTGTTGACTGATCTGTACGGCTGATTGACTTTTTTATTTTAACCGGTCATCGATTGATTATATTAGTTGTTGATGAAAAATATTTGGCAAATTCAAATTCTTCTAAACAGTTTTCTATATATATAAGACTTACATACAAGGGCAAATAATAGTAGTAAAAAATATTCAATTTTGTCAAAAAACCAAAATCAAAGGTTACTCCCTATAACTTTTCATATTTTAGCTTTTCAGACTCAAAGAGTCAACTCTAACAACCAAATGTCAAACACACTTTGATTTTTTGACCAGCTAAACAACCAAAGTCATCTCAAAAACCAAAAACCAAACATGGTAATACTCCCTTCGTCCCGCAAAAAAGTTCCCCTTTTTATCATCCGTCCCAAAAATATTTCTCTTTTCCTTTTAAAAAATTACTTTTACCCTACTAATTCTTAACATATCTATCACATCACACTTTTCTCTATTAATCTATCCATTATATCCTACTTTATTCATCATATTAAAGGATATTTTTGGAAAGTTAACACAAAAATATATTCTCTTTAAATTCTCAAAACGTCAAAACATGAAGTTTTTGCGGGAAGGAGGGAGTATATGATTTAGTATACTGCTAATATTCGGTAAAAGACTGTGTGTCTCTATTTATTTTTGTTCTAAACTTTAACCATAAAGTTTATCTTTATGAATATAATAGACGAATAGTACGAGTAAAATTTTAAGTAACAGAAAAGTAATACGGAGTAGTAATACTTATTTTATCCTATAAGTAGCATCTTTTTTCTCATTTTTATTTTTATTGCGAACATTTTTAAAACAAGGAATGGTCATAAAAATTTCATCCTAGATTCATTTTGGAAGCATTGTTTTAAAATATCATATTCTTAAAAATCTATAATTATTTTTGAGATGCTGAAAACTAAAATGAGAAAAGACATACACGAGAGGGACTTAGATAGACGCAAACCGTTGTGATACTAGTTACAATACCTAGTTACACGAGAACGACTATTAGATCAAATACTCCCTCCATTTTTTAAAAAAGAGTTCCTATTCTGACCAAGTGTAAAATTAATGAAGTGTTAAAAAAAGGATTAAAAAAAAAGTGTTAGAGACAGAAGAAGTAAACCTGTTAGAGACAGAAGAAGGGTGCATGATTGAAGAAGGAAACCGAATCCCTTTGGAATTAGATTTGGTATCTTTCCTAGTTGGATTAGTTTGAGTATTTAGTATCTTTCCTAGTTTGTTTTATTTTTATTTTAGTAGGAATAGAAATTTCTTTGTTTACTTTACCCTCTTCCTATATAAAGAGGGTTAGATCTTTGTATTCACAAGAAACCAATTCACAAGCCAATTCAATATACGGAAATATTTTCTCTCTTATTTTCTACATGATATCAGAGCTAGTTTTGAATTTTTAAGACATCAAACACGCTTCTTCTCCTGCCGTGGGGCATATACAATTCAATGCCTACTGGCGGGATATTGTAATTTTTTTATTTTCTTAGATTATTCTTCCTCACTAAAGAATATTATGAACTCCTCCAACGAAGAACATTGCTGGAAATTTCCATGGCTATTATTCACGATCGCCCGGCATCATGTCCATCGATCGTTGCTCAGTTTCGTCGCCTGCTGCTGCTACCGAAGTGTCAGAACGGTCGAGAGGGTCGATCGTGCCGACTGTAGTTTCTCTGATCGCTGCTGCCGGATAACAGAACGGTCGACCATTGCTTTAGAATGGTCGGGCACATCGACCGTCCCGTCGGCAGTCTCCTGTTGTTGGTCTCTTGGATTCAGAACACGATTGATCCAGCCTTGAGATCTAGCATATCGTATGTGGAAAAAGTTTCAGATCTATGGAATGATTTGAAGGTCCGCTTTTCTGTGGTTAATGGACCGAGGGTTCAGGCAGAATGCCAATAGAAGAATCTCACCATAATGGAATATTATGGGAAGATGAAGAGGTTGTAGGACGATATTGCAGGTTTGGAGCAGTTCCCAATTAGTATGTGTCGGAATTGCACATGGGACCTGCCGGAGAATCTTGTGGGACGATCTTGCAGGTTTCGAGTAGTTCCCAAATTGCACGTGTAGGAATTACACGTGGGATCTGCCGGAGAAGCTTGCGTAGATGCGCGAACCGAGGGAACATTTTTTTTAATGTCCAAGATGTGCATGTTGAACTCCCATACTCTAGTTTGAGGGGGGGTGTTAGAGATAGAAGAAGTAAACCTGTTAGAGACAGAAGAAAGAAGCAAGATTGAAGAAGGAAACAGAATCCTTTGGGATTAGGTTTGGTATCTTTCCTAGTTGGATTAGTTTTAATATTTAGTATCTTTCCCAGTTTGTTTAATTCTTATATTAATAGGAGTAGAAATTTTCTTGTTTACTTTACCCCTTCCTATATAAAGAAGGGTTAGATATTTGTATTCACAAGAAACCAATTCACAAGCCAATTCAATATACATAAATATTTTCTCGAGATCGAACCAACATTATATATGTGTAAATTTCGAAAAGATTGAACAAATTAAATTACAAAAGCACGTTGAAAATTTGAAATACAATGAAATCAAACCGGTGAATATGGTTGAATTTAATTACCCACTTTGAAGTCATTAAAATATTTCTAATCATGATTACCATGCAATCTCTAATAATCTAAGACAATAGGAGTACTTTTTTCATAAGCTTTTACAGGTTTTCCTCCTTTTCTCGTTAAACTTATCTAGAATTTGAAGTCTAGAATTTTGTAATTAAATTTTGGATTTTAGAATTTAGATCCAGTGATATTTTTAAATAAAATCTAAATAATAACTTTTTTTTGCAAATGGAATTTTATTTCTGAAATCTAATTATATATCCCACCTCAACATATCACATACTCCCTCCATCCCAGAAAACACTTCCCATTTTGACCTTTTTCGGTCAAACAGTGATACGTTTTGGCTATACATTGTGAGAAAAATATATTAAATTATACTCCCTCCGTCCATGTATGATCTTCTCATTACGCGTTACGAAGCTTGACCGACTTTATTTTCAATTCAATTTAATTGATTATAAGAGTAAAATTTTAAAATAAAATTTATATAGTAATAAACTACATGAATTTTTTTTTTTTTGAAACGAAAATGCTATATATATAATCACCAAACACATCGAGTATTACACAAACTCCCACATCATTTTCCAACACTTTCTCTACCCACCCTTTTATCTACTAAATGTCACAGAACAATGATATTTAATGGTACTAACTATCTCCTGAATTTGAACTTCTTTATCATGCCTTTTCCAATTCCTAGCCCTCCATATATAGTAGCATGTCGTGGCCCAACCAGCTAGCACTTCCTTCCTTCTCTTCCCGGGGTTGTTCTTTATTATGCCCATTGCCATCTCTACAATATCATCCCCTTCTAGTTTTGTCTGCATCCATTCAGCTATATGGCCTAACACATCCTTGGCAANACTTTGGCAGTGTTTCCCTGTTCCAAACCCAGTCTGTCCATATTGGTTTGGGATGTTCGCCTAGAAGCCATTCATAACCCTGTTGAGTTGTATACCTTACCCCTCTAGGCATGCTGGCAAACAGATTCCTGACTTTCATCATTTGAGTCCAATAGTTACAGCAGTTAGGCCTAGGGGTGTACTCCCAGTAGTTGTCATTTTTGATGTATCTTGTGTGAATCCATTGCACCCAAAGTATATCCTTCTTATTGTGGATATCCCAATTCAGTTTCATGATTGAAGCTTTGTTCCATAGAACCATGTTCCTCAACCCTAGTCCTCCGCACCTCTTAGGAAGACAAGTTTCTTCCCAGCTCACTAATGGGACCTTACTGTATTCTGCTTTTGAGTTCCAGAGAAAATTTCTGCATATTGCTTGGATAGTCTTCATCACCTTAGATGGGATTACGAAAATTCTAGTCCAGAAGGTTACTATCCCCATGAGCACAGTATTAATTAGCCTAACCCTACCTGCATATGTAAGGTGCTTGGAGCTCCACGTAGTTATTTTGGAACAAATTTTCTCAACCAGCTTGTCACAGTCCTGAATAGATAACCTTGATGATGAGATGGGGCAACCCAGGTATGTAAAAGGAAGTTCTCCTTTATTCATCTGAGTGATGCTCATAATCTCCTTTTCCAGATCCTCCTTGCAGCCTCCAAACACAATAGAAGATTTCTCCTTGTTAATTTGAAGCCCTGTACACTTGTTGAATCTTTCCAGCACCTCCATGATAACTTTAACAGATTTAACATCAGCTTTGCAACCCACTATTAAGTCATCAGCAAAAATTAGGTTTACCACCTTCAACGATGCACACATAGGATGATAACCAAACTTGGAAATATTGGTAGAATAGCTGAACAGGCGAGTTAAGTACTCCATAACCAGAACAAATAATAAGGGTGAAATAGGATCCCCCTGTTTGAGTCCATTTTTGCCCTTAAAATACCCATGAGGCTCGCCATTAACAACTAGGCTATATGAGGGGGTAGTTACACAAAACATCACCCATGTGATAAACTGTTCAGGAAACTTCATATGAGTTAATATCCCTCTCACTGCTTCCCAACTCACCGAGTCATAAGCTTTCCTAATATCCAGCTTCAGGAGACATCTAGGGGAGATGTTTTTCCTGCCATATCCTCTTGCCAATTCTTGACATAAGAGAACATTATGAAGTAGTTCCCTGCCCTCCACAAATGCCCCTTGATTCCAGTTTGCCAGCTCTTTTAGAACTCCTTTTAATCTACCACATATTATTTTGGATATGACCTTGTAGATGACATTACAGCAGGCTATAGGCCTGTAGTCAGACACAGAGTTGGGATCTTTCTTTTTTGGGATGATCACCAAATGGGTAGCATTAACCTGATTCAGTGTTTTGTCCTTCTGGAAAAATTCCATCACTGCTTCTGTCACCAAAGTTCCCACCACATGCCATTGCTTTTTGAAGAAACCACTTCCAAATCCATCTGGACCTGGACTCTTTGTGCTAGGTATCCCAAATATGATTTCCTTGATCTGTTGAGGGCTTATAGGTTTAATCAGCATCAGCTGCTGCTGTATATTCAGTGTCTTCCCTTCCTCAATAACCTTAGGCTCAATCACTTCGACACTTCTATGAAATCCTAGCAGATCTTTAAAATAGTCTAGTAGAACCCCAGCTATATCATCTGTACCTTCAACTCTTTTGCCCTTGCTGTCATGTATGGTAGAAATATGGTTGTGTATTTTCCTTTTCCTCACCCAAGCATGGAAGTATGCCGTGTCCCTGTCACTTTCAGTAATCCACTTCTGTTTCATGTGTTGGCATTTAAGAAGGTAAGAAGCTTTAAGTTTCATCATAAACTCCTTTCTTACTTGATTTTCCTTCACTATCAGCTGTTCATTTTGGGGATCCTCCTTCATTTTCCTCTGAATATTCAGCAACTCTTCTCTATTTTCCTCACATTGGGTATAAATCCTTTGGAACCCATTTCTATGTAGTTTAAACAAAGGCTTCCTCAGGCTCTTCAGGTTCTGTATTAGTTGGTACATTTTCCCATCCAAATGATTAACCTGCCAGTGGGATCTCACTATGTCATTAAAAGCAGGATCCAAACTCCACATCTCACAAAATTTGAAGGTGCTTCTGTGCTTATTATCAATGGTTGTGAGTATGAGAGGGGAGTGGTCAGATATGCCTTCTTCACCCACTAGAGTTTTTGTTCCATGTCTAAGCATCCATTCCATATTTGAAAAGGCCCAATCGAGTTTGGAGTATATTCTTTTTTCATGACTTTGTTTATTTGACCAAGTATATCTAGCACCAGTATATGTTATCTCCTCCAGGTCACAATATCTAATGCAGTCACAGAACTCCTTAGTTTCTTCCCCTTTAACTGGCAGTCCTCCAATTTTATCTTCAGTTCCCATTATGGCGTTGAAGTCCCCAAGAACACACCAGGCCTTTTGCATATTATCAGCTATGTTTTTTAGCATCTCCCACAGTCTTCTCCTGTTAATATTATCATTGGCCCCATAAACAAAGGTAATATAGTATTTATAGTCTTCCCCCAGCTTCCTAACTTCACAGTGCACTGCTTGATCAGATTCCTGTTGGATTTGTACCTCAACGATCCTTTTATCCCAAACAATCCAAATTCTCCCCAAAACATGAGATGAATTATTAATGTAGGAGCCCCAGTTAGGGAACATCTTATTTTCAATATCCTTAAAATTCTTTTGTCTAATTTTTGTTTCAAGGATACCCATGACCCTTATTTTGTATTTATTTATGAGTTTCTTCACCTCACTCTGCTTATTAGGGCTGTTGAGCCCTCTAATATTCCAGCTACCAATCATGTTAGGAAAGACCTATGCCCACTATACTGAGCCTCTGCCAGTACTGTGGGCACCTCAATCCCCTGAGCTATCATTGTAAAACTTTCTCCTAGGCATCTCTTCTTTATTGAGTTCTTCCTACCCACTTGAGTGAAGCCTTCATTTTGCTCTCCTTCATTCACCTGAGTGATAATATTGCCTTCTGGGGTGACCATTTCCTCCTTGTTGTCATTCTCTATTTCCTTCTCCTGAGGTGTTTCTTCTTTCTGTTTTTCAGTATGAGTTTGTTTTTTCCTCCATACCTTTTGCTGTCTAGGAGCTATCTTCTTCCTGCACTTTTCTTCATTATGGCCTAAACCTTCACAGTGAGAGCATACAATAGGGCACCACTCATACTTCACCCTTTGTGATATAATTCTGTCTTTTCCATCAGCAAAGTAGATGACCTCTAGGAACTCTTGTTTCATCCTGACCTCCACTTGAAGCCTGGCATAGCTCATTTTGCTCTTTTGTACAGTAGATTTGTCTACCCTTAGTGGTTTCCCAATGAGGCTACCAATTTTGCTTAGAGCATTTAGGCTCCAAAATCTCAATTCCAGATCTGGCAACTGAATCCAAATAGGAATGTCCAGAAGTTCAGCCAAATTCACTTCAGAACCAGGTATCCATTTCCTCACGTAGAGAGGTTTATTATCAAACACATAGTAGGTCTTTTCTATTGCTTCATCCCTTTCTACTATTGTATTGAATCTGACTACAAACTGCCCATATTTGAGGAAGGTAACATCCAGAACATCAAATCGTTTCCATAATCTGTTAATAAATCCTTCCATAACAGCTAGGGGAGGATTAGATCCCAGAGTACATACCACAGCAGCAGCTTCCCAGTATGCAGCGTTTTCACCAATATCTTCATCCAAAAGCTTTGCATATCTGATTCCATCCTTTTCCTCTGGTTCTACATACTTCAAAGCGCATTCCATTTCATCCTTATCTCCAACTACTTCAGCGTAGGATTTAGGTTTACCTTCCTCCATTTCCAGGTTGCTTTGTGGGTCATCCTCCTTCACTTCATTGATCTGTTCCTCTGATTTCCTTTCAGGATCATGAGATGAGCAAGCTTCATTTGCCTTTTCGGGCATTGGATTCAGTTTTTCCTGTGTAATTCTAGGGTTATTCTTCGGTCTTCCTCTCTTCGCCATGGCTAGAGAGAGAAAACCTGATAAAATTTTAGGTATGATACAAACTTTTCTTACATATGATTGGGCACACACTACATGAAAAGTTTTACAAAACTAGAGGTGACAAGAATATATTATTTTATGAAATGACTAGTAAAATTGAGTAAACAAAGTGAGTAAAGTTTGATCTTGTGAATAGTGACTGGGAAGATCTATGGTGGACAGAGGGAGTAATATAAATGTAATATAATAGGATTCATCTTAGGATATAGTTTTGATATATCAAATTTTTTATAACATTTCTTTATTTAAATTATGTTTAGTTTATGATAAAAAATTGTCATTGTTTGACTGAAAAAAGTCAAAATAGGAAATTTTTTTTGGGACAATGAGAGTAGAACATTTGGTGTATTTGACACGAGTAACTTACACAACTCATGTCCAAGATCTGGCTGACCTTAATATGTGTAGTGGGTGTTTGTTTGGATATATGATATGAAATTATTATGATGTAGATAGATAAAAGATTGATTTAATGAATGAATTTTACATTATGGGATGTAAATACTCTTATAATTATACTGGATTCACTTCATATTTTGTATTCCCTAAGTCTATAATTTCCTTTTTGTTTCAGGTTGAGAGGCTTGACAAAAACTATTATATTATCAATTTAATTTATCAAATTATAAATGTACAAGATTCATCGTAACTATATTATATTATAAAATTAATAATAAAAATAATGAGACAAAATAAAAACTTGGATTGTTTAATAATACATTAGAAGAACATTTTCGGATTGATATTGTCTTTAGGCCCAGATCACCTAATAAGCCTACACATTTAGTAAGAACAAGCGAGTTTAAGGCACGTGAGATGGGTCGAGCTAACTCGCCTCCAAATTAAAGTGATGTTGAGGTAGGCATTAGATTTATGAGACAAGATGTGATCTTTCACAAATCTCTCCATATCTTGTCATTCTCCATGATAATGAGTTACGTTCACATGTCTTCTAGAAAAGTAAAAAATAATTTGTGTGGTTGATTAATCTCTAAACTCTTATAAATATACTTTTCCTAATCAAGAATCACACTCTAAATGTACAAAGGTTGTTTTTGTTGTGGGTTTAATCCAACTGATTATTATGATCAATATCGTTTAAAAAGTACTCTAAAACAAATTCATGATAACTTTTCTAAAAAGCTACTGAGGTAGTTGTCAAAAACGATTTTAACGTTTTATGACATTATGTTTAAACAAAAGTTATTAATACTCTATCTGTCCTAAAATTAACTTCACATTTGACTTTTCACGGTCTTCAATGCGATACTTTGACCATCAATATTTTAATTTTTATATAAATATATTTTATAAAAATTATATATTTCAAAACTATGTTTCAAAATTAATCTATTGCTTATAAATTTATATGAAAATTCAATGTATTTTTTCCGTAATATACAGTCAAAGTTTAAAAAGTTTGACTACAAAAGTCAAACTGGGAAGTTAATTTTAGGACGGAGGGAGTATTAAATTTATATGAATACACAATATATTTGTTCCATATATTCTAGCCAACATTTACTAAATTTGAACAGATAAAATACAACCGAAAGATTAATTTTGAACGAAAAGAGTAATTTTTTTTGAAGGAAAAGGGAGTATCCAAAAGAGAATTCAAAGTCGACGAGGAAACAGTAAAGCATCGTGTGACCATGCCCAAATCTACAATCAATCGGCCTCCTTCTCCCTCGAACTCATATATATATATATATATATATATATGTACGTACTTACGATCCGACATGGCATATATAGTCGTATAATCCCTGGTCGCCTCCTTGCGCTCTGTTTGGTTGACATCACAGAATCCCAGTTGTGGAATTTTGAACACATTTTGATTCTTTATTATTTTGTGCCCAATTTTTCTTCTCTACCAATAGTGAAATCTGTTACCCCAATAAAGGTTCATTGAATGTCCAAACACGACTTTAATTAAGCTTGTTTATATTACTCTACTCTTTGGGGGCGCATTTTTTGATATGAGAGATTTCATATATAGAAACTTATAAAAAAGTACCGAGTACTTTTTTTATTTTCGTATAAGTTTATCTGAGTTACAGTGTGAAAAAAAATTACCACATTCGTCTTCCATAGATTTTCTCATTAGTCTTTTTTATTTGTCCCACATAGATCTTCTTATTACTTTTTTTAACATTTAAAATATCACAACTACATCCACTTACTTTATTTATTACACCTTTTTCACCTTATTTAATACACCCCACCCATTTTCATTAAGGGTATTTTGGTAAACTTTCACCTTTTTTCAAGTCTCCTTAAAACCACAAAAAGTCAAAACGAGAATATCTTAGAGGAACGGAGGGAGTAAATAAGACTTCTATTCCCACTTTAAATGTATAAAATACATCTCATTATGTAGTTTATTATAGACGGAACTTATTTTGAGGGTATTTTAGACATTTTAGGTGGGGTATAAGTGATTTATGAGGTGCACAAAAAATTAGAGCGAAAGTGTTTCGTGAAACGGAGAGGGAGTATTATATTTTGACGTGACGAGTATTGGTGCATTGTTTTATTATCAATCGTTATTGTTTCTTTGTAATGAAGAAAAATAGTTTCGTACAAAATTTAATGTATGTTAGTAGAAAAACAAAATTTACACAAATCGAATACTTATTATATATTATTATTGTTCTAAGAATTGGACAAGTGTCTAACCTCTTCATCTATAATCATGCTTAATTGTCATGGCTTTTGAAACTTATAGAAGAAACTTTGCAAAATTTCTAAAACACTTTGTTGTTGGTGTCTTTAGTGTTAAAATTCCGGCGGGCCAAGAACAACAGATAGAGTATGGGTAAAATTAACCACTTGCATATAAAGTCGGGATCCACAATTCTAACCCAAAAGCTTAAGCTGATAGGTAGGGCTTCACCCTTCAATATATGCAAGTGATACTTGTCTTTATTTTCCGATGTGGGAACTCCAACACTCCCCCGCAAGTGGTAACTAGCCTGGCCTAGTTAGCACTTGGACAAACGGGTCTAGCATCTCAATCTCCTATAGCTAGCCTACACAACTGTCGGTGGCATCTCAATCTCTTTTTAGCCAACTCAGCCCAAACCACATACGGGTAGCTCATTTTTGCTAAACCCATATCCAAACAACCAGGAACAATCAAACCCGGACCGGACTGGCTCCGATACCATGTTAAAATTCCGGCGGGCCAAGAACAACAGATAGAGTGTGGGGTAAAATTAACCACTTGCATATAAAGTCGGGATCCACAATTCTAACCCAAAAGCTTAAGCTGATAGGTAGGGCTTCACCCTTCAATATATGCAAGTGATACTTGTCTTTATTTTCCGATGTGGGAACTCCACACTCAATCTTAAATTTATCATGGTATCAGAGCCAGTTTTAGCCCACCTCGTTTGTCAAGGTGTCCGTCTAGACGTTCATTCCTAGCGGCCCGTTAGTCTTTAGCCCAGTTGTCCGTATGGAGTATGTACTCAACGGCCTGTGGCCCGTTTAACACGATTGCTCGTCTGGAAGTCCATACCCACGGCTCGTGGTTCTTTAGGTGTTGGCACTCAAAAAAAGTCAAGGGAATGGGAGTTCATTTGCAAGTGGTCAGCCGGTTAGATTCAAAATGGCCCGGTTGTCCACTTGAGGGGGAGTGTTAAGAGTATCCCACACCGGAAAAGTGTGAGGAAAATAATCGATATATAAGCCCTTGAGGTGAACTAACTAATCGATTGGATTAAATCTTTTAATGTGGTTCAGCCCAAGTGTCTTATTACTCAATCTAGTTGTCCACACTCAATCTTAAATTTATCCTTTAGCTTTTCTAGATTTAAAAATCACTTTTATTAAAAAGACACCAATTTGGCACTGTTAAGAAAAGCAGGTATTGGCAAAATTGTTAACTTACAAGCCAAAATTCTTGGAATTGAAAGAAGCTAAGTGCTTTTGCATTTCAAAGCCCACTATGAACTCTTTTATTTAACACTAAGCATTTTTTTGAGTCAATATATTTTAACTCATTTGTCAAACTGAGAAACCGTAACTTTTGCTTTCACCGCCTCTTCAGATCGTACTTTCGTATGACTTTATTTGATTTGTTATTGTTATTATCTGTCAAAACACTCAAATCGTATTTTTGATCGACGTGTTTCGATAACTTTGGTTCGTTTGAATAATTTCATTGATCATTAAATAATATGAATTGAAAAAATTTAAAATTTTGCTTTGAGGCTTTATCAACAAACAAAAATGATTTTAAAGCATTATATTCAAGCTAAGCTCTTACGTAAAGAACCAAATGCAATGATGGCAACAATATAATGTGCCCCATTCATAAGCAGCATCTGAATTAAGGCGTTGTTTGGGCAAGCAAAAGAAACAAAGTTGGGATTAAAAAGGGCGATGTGGCTTTTAATAAAGCACCCAAACACGTGTATGATGTCATCCACTTCGGAGAGGAGGGAAAAAACCCATTTTGCCCTTTGCCGCTTGGCCTCCCTAATCCGCGTTCTCTTTTTTTTTTCTTTTTTCTTTTTTATTTAATTTAGGTGAATATTCATATAAAATTTATAAATTTAAACTTGCTTTAAAAATTTTACAAAAAATTGTTGCGACATACTAATTTGTTAAAAATGGTTTAAAAAATAAGTAAACAAATAAAAGATAATTTAACCAAGTGAATTGTGAAGATGAAGAAACCCATTTTTCCTCTAATTAATCTCTTGCAAATTGTGCTCTCAATGATGCATGACCACCCCAATATATAACACTTGCCTATGAATTTAATCGCATAAAATGTCACAATAATTAATGTCTATGCCAAGAAAAACTTGACGCTTGGTGTCATTATTTTACATCTAAATATTTTTCCCGAACAATAACTATATATAAATGATTGTTTATGATTTTGTTAATCCTGGTTTCATCTTTGGGATCAAAGTAACATTTTTGCTTATTTTATACTATGAGAATTCAATGAAATGAAAACAAATAAAATAATGCGGAGTATAATGTGGATCTTGTTGAACCAAATGAATTAATCTCCATCTATACACTTCCCGGCCAGTTTCTTTTTCTATGCACAATGTATCTCTATACTACCTCAACCAAGGAAAAAAAATCCAAAATTTCACTTTCTAAAAGATTTAAAAAATAAAATAAAGAAAAAAGTCTAACTGATCAGTTCCCCGTTCCGGGGGACGGAAC